AGGTAGACGCAGTCGAGCCTGTCGAGGTCACTGGTGACTCTGGTGCTGCTGAGGGTGCTGAGGCTGGGGGTGCTGTACCTGGGGGTGCGGAGCCTAGGGGTGCTGGGCCTGGGGGTGCTACGTCTGGGGGTGCTGAGCCTAGGGGTGCTGAGCCTAGGGGTGCTGAGCCTGGGGGTGCTGAGCCTGAGGGTGCTGAGCCTGGGGGTGCTGAGCCTGGGGGTGCTGAGCCTGGGGGTGCTGAGCCTAGGGGTACTGAGCCTGGGGGTGCTGAGCCTAGGGGTGCTACGTCTGGGGGTGCTGAGCCTAGGGGTGCTACGCCTGGGGGTGCTGAGCCTGGAGGTGCTCCGCCTGGAGGTTCTTCGAGTGCTTCGTCTCGCCGGGAGCCACTTTCGCCACAGGAGCTGCGTGAGTGGTTTGCCCGGCGCTGGAGGCGTGCTGCTGGTGCTGGAGGTCCTTCGGCTGCTGAGGGTGCTGCGGTCGCGGGTCCCGGAGGTGCTCGTCCTGGGTGCACTGGAGCTGGTGCTGCTGAGGGTGTTGGCGCTGAGACTACCGCTGGCAGTCCTACTGGGGGTGCTCCTGGTGCTGCTGGAGGTTCTGGAGCTACTGGTGGTGCTGCTGGAGCGGGTGCTCCTGCTGAGGGTTCTGGTGCTGTCCCTGCTGCTTCTAGCGTCGCCGCGCGGCCTCGACCGTACTTCGTTCCACTCCTGCAGCAGGTTCTTGGTCTTCCACCTTCTACTGGTCCTCCTCCTCCCTTAGAGTGTCCACAGCCTGTCTCGTCCCAGCTACAGTTGCAGCCTACCTCCCCTTTGCCTGCTCCTTCTCCCTACACTGGTCCTACTGGAGGTCTGGCTGAGCGTCGTGAGCCTGTGTCTCGCCCTGCGTCGCCTGTCCGTGCTGCTCGCACTAGTGGTCGCGGTTCGCGTCAGCGTCCTCCTCCTGTCCCTGGCACGCACCGGATGTCTCTGCGTCCGTCCACGGCTCCTCTGCGTGCCCCTTTGCCTTCTCCTCCTGAGTCCTCTCTTCCTGCTCTTGCCGACCCGGAGTCGGACTCTCTTCGTGCTGCCAGTCCTACTGTCACGCGTCTCCTTGCTACTGTTGTCACTGACCCTTCTTTCGAGTCTACTGCTGCGTCTGCTCTCGTTACTGAGCTCGTCGACTTTGCTGCTCGCTGTCGCTTAGACTACGCTACTAGTCTTGTCGCTGAGTCTGAGTCTGTCTGTCCTCCGTCCGTCGGGGGTGAGTGTGCCCTTGGCACGGACGTCCTTGAGGACAGGCAGGAGGAGTTCCAGTGTCTGGCAGCTGCCTCACCTCATCTCGTGTCCGTACTGCTTACCCCTGAGGGAGACCCGGATGCACTTGACATCCCGACTCCGCGCTCTTACGCGGAGGCGATAGAGGGTCCCTACTCCTCTCAGTGGCAGGCAGCTATGGATGCAGAGATGGCTTCCTGGAAGTCCACAGGCACCTACGTTGACGCTGTCCCCCCTCCTGGGGCGAACATCGTCAGTGGCATGTGGATCTTCAGGGTGAAGCGGCCGCCGGGTCTGTCTTCAAGGCGCGTTACGTGGCTCGTGGCTTCAGTCAGCGGCAGGGAGTTGACTACTTTCAGACCTTCTCCCCCACCCCGAAGATGACCACTCTTCGGGTACTGCTGCACGTTGCTGCTCACCGTGACTACGAGCTGCACTCTCTTGACTTCAGCACAGCCTTCTTGCAGGGCAGCCTGCACGAGGAGATCTGGCTGCGTCGCCCACCTGGCTTCACTGGGTCTTTCCCTCCTGGTACCTTGTGGAGTCTCCGGCGTCCAGTCTACGGTCTCCGCCAGGCGCCACGTGAGTGGCACGACACACTGAGGACTACGCTTGCGGCTCTTGGGTTTGCTCCTTCTACTGCCGACCCGTCGCTGTTTCTACGCACCGACACCTCTCTGCCGCCGTTCTACATCCTCGTGTACGTCGACGACTTGGTCTTTGCCACAGCTGACACTGCTGGACTCGCCTACGTGAAGTCCGAGCTGCAGAAGAGACACACGTGCACAGACCTGGGTGAACTGCGCAGCTACCTTGGCTTGCAGATCACCCGGGACAGAGCACGCCGCACCATTACCCTGACTCAGTCACACATGGTGCAGCAGGTCCTTCAGCGCTTCGGCTTCACGTACTCCTCGCCTCAGGCCACTCCTCTGTCTACTCGCCACTCGCTCTCAGCTCTGCCTTCGGATGAGTCCGTAGAGTCGAGTGGCCCGTACCCAGAGCTTGTTGGCTGCCTCATGTACCTGATGACCTGCACACGACCTGACCTTGCATACCCTCTTAGCATTCTTGCACGCTATGTTGCTCCTGGGAGACACAGACCAGAGCACATGGCTGCAGCGAAGAGGGTGTTGCGCTACTTGTGCAGTACGTCGGGCATGGGGCTAGTGCTTGGAGGGCGGAGTCCAGTGGTCCTCACTGGGCACGCGGACGCTTCTTGGGCTGACGACCAGGCTACGCAGCGGTCGTCACAGGGTTACACCTTCAGCCTTGGTTCCGGCTCTGTTTCGTGGCGGGCTACTCGCTCGTCTTCTGTTCTTGGCTCGAGTTGTGAGGCTGAGATCTACGCCGGGGCCATGGCTGCACAGGAGCTTCGCTGGCTCACCTACCTGCTGACCGACCTTGGAGAGCCGCCTCGTTCTCCTCCAGTCCTGTACGTAGACAACAAGGCCATGCTGGCCTTGTGTCGAGAGCAGCGACTGGAGCACAGAACAAAGCACATTGCTCTCCGCTACTTCCTTGCTCGTGAGCTACAGCAACGTGGACAGTTGCGGCTTGCGTACGTGGCCTCTGAGGCCAACACTGCTGATGTCTTCACCAAGGCACTTCCGCCTTGTGATCATCAGCGCTTCTGCACTCAGCTGGGTCTTGTGCCCGTCTTGCCTCACTTGCTCTCCTCTTGACCTTGCTTGTACTCTCACATATATATATACCTGCTCTTGCTTGTCTAGCTTTATATATATGTGTGTACTCTTGCATGTGAACTGGCCGTGTGGCCTTGACCCTGTGCTCGGACTGTGTGGTGACTTTGTGATCCACCCTGAGCTTTCCTTTGCTTTGCTTTGCTTGACTGGTCTTGTGACCCCTTGTTCTCCCCCACTTTGCCTATGGGGGTGTGTCAGAACATTGTAGCTTATGCTGTTATGTAGGCTATTGTGGGGTATCCCATAGGGGGTACAACCAATTAGGGTTTCATATTTGTACTCACTTCATTTCATAGTTCATTCATTCTCATTCTCATTCTCACATGTTGTAGGGCGAGGGTTGGGTTGGTAGGGTTTGAACAACTCGTCACTTTTCAGATCTGAACTCTTGCTCAAGCCATTCCTAGATCTAATCCATGGCTGCCAAGTAATTCCGCCAGGATACACCGTCACGCTTAAATCGCGATAGCGATCGGCCTAGATCTTGGTTGAAGACGTGCTTTACCATTCTGGAAATAAGAGATTATGACCTTTCCAACGCGTACTTGCTCATAGTTTTAGGTTATGTGAGCTGCACGCAATGGTTCGCCGAAGTCGGCGGACTTTATCTCTTGTTACGCTCTCCAGATTCGCTCGCTTTCCATCAGTTATTTCAATGTGATGAGTGCCAGAATGGCGTATACCATGTTTCTGGGGGGTGGGTTCATCCCAGGATGACGAGGGTGGGCTTATCCAAAGATGAGTCTAAAATTGTTATGATCGGCCTCGAGCTATAAGCGCACCGCTCCGATTATAAGTGCATGAGTGTAACATATCCCTGGGGGTATATCCGGGTGATGACGGTACCCGACGATTGAGAGTATTCGGGTGTCCTAGAGGCGCAGCACAATTTGCTCACGTGCTGGAACGCTACTGCCCCCTTAGGAGGTAGGTATATTAAGAGGAAGTTTCCAGGAATCTGGTCTCGATAGACTCGCATTCAAGGGGCTCATAATCGATGTAGTAACACGCTAGGCAAAAACTAGACTCTGAAATATATTGTATAAAATCAGGGCCCCTAAATCAATAACTATGAAGCAGGGCCCTATATATCAGACTTTTTACTCGGATTTAGACTTCGTTCAAACTTTTTTTGGTACCTATGCTGAACTCAATTTTTTTATATTGTATCTTGTCTGATTTTTCAGAGTTTTTTTTATGAATTGGCTGAAATTTCAGCCTAAGTTATGAATATAGGTTGAGCCCTCAGCCTTGTATCGGGGGTTTACACTGAATCCGGCAATGCATGGATTTCCGCCAGCCTGTAGAATTACCGGTAACACTGTCAATCACGGGCGGCAAATCAAGTTTTCCCCCACAACACTCCGCACTGTTGCGTTGGTACAGCAAAGTGGCCAATCAGGGTTGCGCAGCAGGCAGCGTTGGCAAGAACCGTTGCCAACGCATGGCTCTCAGTCTCAGTGCGCTATGCCTCGTACCAGGGCCCGTGATAGGTTTTGGGACATTCTGAGGCCTCAGGGCAACTTTCCAGAATCTGAAAAAATGCCCTGATTTGTCAGGGCAAAATTTAGAAGGCTTTTTGTAGTTTGAGGATTTCTGCAAAAACTAATCCTGACCTGTCAGGGCTAAAAAACGAGTGTTCAGGGTTATCTTGTTTGACATGTTTTCTTGTGTTTTTATGAAAATGCATGATCAGCTTAAGTTTTACAGCTAACGCTGGAAATTCAGCCTAAAAAACTTTGAATTGTCTTATTTTTCAGCCTAAGATTTTGGGGCCACGCTAGCTCACATAGTTCTAACAGTGGTGCACGCTGATCGATCAGCGTGCCTCAAAACGAATCTAGGGGCCTGCTCTGAAGCACTCATGGATAAAAAATCAACTTGAACAAGATTCGACGTTTACGTCGAAAGGGTTGCGTAGGTTTATATTTCTAGTGTAAGAAACATTACAGTGGTACATATCATATCATACTTACAAAAAGTGATTTATCAGGGTCGTATCTACTTAGAATCGGACAAGCTTGCTAGTTCCTTATTTAAGAACATGGGTAATTATGTATAAATATTTACACTGGAAATTGTTTTGAGTATTGACAGGGAACAATTTTGACATTGGTGACATTTTTGTGATTAGTATTAGGCAATTATCTTTACCCCCATCTACTATATTGTTGTTTCTTATCATATTGCACGATCAATTTATTATGTTGAATCATTTCATGTCTCTGTCTGTTACTGCCTGCTAGTTGCTTCGTCAGTGTATCAAGTGCAAACTTGCATGGAGGATTTTCGGAGCGCACTGAACCTTGTGGCACTGTCGTTCTCGTTAACTGTTATATTCACTACAGTCACCACATTTCCGAGCTTGTGGTGTTCAGTTTTGTTTTTTGCACACCAGTCATGTTACCAGCATAAATATTGCAACCGAATTAGGATATTCTGTTGATGACAAGTTTTGAGCGGTTCGATAGCAACAATCACATTTTATAAACATCATGCAGCCAAGGTAGCATCTTTGCGATACAAGCATATATACAATGTCAGAATTTGTATCTGACAAAATCATGTTTTACTCTTCTAACGGGTAAACCTTGTATTTTTTTTTTCCACACCTGTCAATCCGAATTTGACGCTCCCCTCTTCTTCGTTCTTTGTTCTTGATTCTTGATTTCTTGTTCTTGGTTCTTGTTCTACTTAGGTTCCTGCCGTCGCGCCTACCTACCATGTTAGCTTTTCTGTTCTCCTAATACCTCGCCGTCGCCTTTCCTCCCATCCCACTTTATCCTCTCCCTCACTCCCCACCATCTCGTCTGTCTGCCTCTCAGCCGCGTCGCCGCTCCTTCCTATCCTGCATCGCCTCTGCCTCCACCCCGTCATAGCCTCTCCCTTCCTCCTCTCCGTCGCCTCTCCATCCCTTCCCGCCGTCGCCTCTGGTGGGTGCTCGAGCGTGAGCGCGGGTTTCTGCACGACCGCACATTGTTTTCTTAGGCACGTTGTCTCAGGTGCGTTTACGTTTCCCGGACCTTTTTACCTCCCTCCTCCGCCCGAAATTTCCTACGTTTTCTACTTTCTTCGTAAGTTCCCTGTGCCAATTTGTTTGGTTTAGCATTGTGCTCCCATTGGTTTCCTCTTAGCATTGCACTTGCGCCTAACGTGCTGGCGCCTTGCTGCAGTGAGCTCACGCGTTGTTGCAGTGAGCTCACGCGTTGCTGCAGTGAGCTCACGCGTTGCTGCAGTGAGCTCAGGCGTTGCTGCAGTGAGCTCACGCGTTGCTACAGTGAGCTCACGCGTTGCTGCAGTGAGCTCACGCGTTGCTGCAGTGAGCTCACGCCTTGCTGTAGTGAGCTCGCGCGTTGCTGCAGTGAGCTCACGCCTTGCTGTAGTGAGCTCACGCCTTGCTGCAGTCAGCTCACGCGTTGCTGTCGTGTGCTCAGGCCTTGCTACGGTAGCTCACTTTCTCTTCTCAGTCGGCCGTGCTTTGCTGCAACTCTCTGGCCCCTTGTAGCATGGCGATGCCCAGCTCGTTGCACCAATGTGTCTTGCTCGCTGGACCCTTTTTGCACACCAGCGTGGTGTGCGTGACCTCAGGGGATCGATGTTTCAAACCACGCTTGTGAGTCGTCGAATTGCTTTGCAAGAATTGCGTTTTATTTCTATTTTGTATCTATGTTTACCGTTAATTTCATTCTGTAGTTGTCATATTTCAACCCATACATGCTTATCTAGTTCCATTTCGCATTCAAGTACGCACTCGTTGTTGAATAATTTCTAACGCTTTCTCCGACGACTATTCATTTTCTACTCTGTTGGTTTTGCAAGGTGTGCAAGACGCATTATTGGGAGCAGGGAGGGGAATGCGAGAGAGAAGACAATGTGGAAAAGGTGTTGAGTACTATTGGGATATAGGAGCTACTAACCACACCTTTAATTCACACTTAACAGTCCCCACGGGGTCACCTCCAAGGGTCCTTGGGTGCCTGGCAAGGCCAGCCCCTATCCAAGGGTCCGTGTTATGTCGAGGGACACGCCAAGTATGAAAACAAACGTGTGTGTTAGAGCATTTCCAAAACTCCTTGCGCAACGTTATGACGACGAACTGGTCGTGTGCAGAAAGTTCTCTTCACGTCAATACGATGATAGAGAAAAACTTCACTCAAAAGGATTGATCACAACTGAACGCAAGCACGCATTTATATTTCGCCTAGCACACGAGCATAAGAAAGCATAGAGCAGTTGTTTAACTATACTTCAGGACTTCGCCAGATGCGCCAAGGAAAACGGTTGTCGAACTGCTTCGAAATTTGGCTTGGTTCTCCCCTGTAGAATAACTGTCTTCAAATTTCATGTCTGCCAAATTCCCCTACTGACTCCCCTCGTGAACGTTCGCGACTTCTCGTGCGCAATCATAAACACTCGTGTGAGATTACCGTTTTCACGAAGTCTCACAGTTGAAAAACGGTTTTCTCCGTTTTTCTCCTGTATCGAAATTGTCCCTTTACGCACGTGATCTTTCCAGCGAAGTTACTTGTAAGTCGAGTCAACGAGGGATACGGTTTTTCAACCGCAATCCCGAGCACCCCCACGACTGCAATCATGCACGACCGATATTTCGGTCGTGCTGTACAGTGCGATGTACTGCGCGTGGGCAGGGCGATCATTCGCCCTGTCTTGTTGCGATCGTGGGCCATGCCACGCTCGCAACAGTGCGAAGGCACACGCGCGGGCCTGAGGGCCCACACGCACGATCAGGACCCCACGCGTGGGTCAAGATGTCCGCGCCCTTGACCTTTGACCAGCACGGAAAATATCCTCGCGAACACTCGCGACTCTTCACGAACACACACGAAAACAGAAAAACAGAAAACAACCATGACGCTCACAAACATTCATGAACAACACACGAACCTCACGGGATTTCACAAACATAAAATCAACGCACACTCATAACAACTCACGAAACAACGCAAACGCGCACGAAGTCTCGCATTCGCACGCAGACATTAACGAACTCTCATGAACGCAGCCTTTCACGAAAACGCACACAACTCATGAACCGTTGAGGCGATTCACGAGCCGTAAACACAGAAATGCAAAGCACGGAAATGCGCAACTCACACACAACAAATTAACTTCAGACGGAACACCTCACTTTCACTCAACGTCGACAAATAGGCGGTAGGTTGTCGTGCAAACTATGTATTGCAAACTATGGTTTTGCAAGATGTGCAAGACGCATTATTGGGAGCAGGGAGGGGAATGCGAGAGAGAAGACAATGTGGAAAAGGGTGGGAGGATATTTTGATGGTAGAGGGATAGGAGGGAAGGCGGAAAGAGGGAGGAAGGGGGGTCAAGCTAGCAGTGATTGATACATAATAAATTTATTGCAACTCTTCGTTATGCTTGTCTGCTCTCAATCCTATTTGTGTATGCATGTGTGTGCGGGTGTGTTTGTGCGGGTCAGTTTGTGCGGGTGTGTTCATGTTAGTTGGTTGTTTCACAGGGGGGTTGTTGTGCTGATATGCACCGTGTTTGTGATCTGAGGTTGTCATTGTCGTTGGGGCAGCGTGTTTTCGCTGTTTCAACGACCCCATCAATCTCAGTTGCGGCATTGGTGTATATTGTGAAGAAATGAGGAATGAGAATGACTGGGTGAAATGTGGGTACAAGTAGAAAACCTAGAAATGTTGTACCCTATAGTATCTACCCCACTACAGCCTAGATAGACCATAGCATATAAACTTGACACACCCCCATAGGCAAAGTGGGGGAGAACAAGAGGTCACAAGACCAGTCAAGCAAAGCAAAGCAAGCTCAGGGTGGATCACAACGTCACCACACATTCCGAGCACAAGTTCAAGGCCACAAGGCCAGTTCACATGCAAGATCATATATAAAGGTAAACAAGCAAGTGCAGGTATAGGAAGATCACAGTACAAGCAAGGTCAAGAAGTGAGCAAGTGAGGCCAAGTAGGCACAAGACCTAGCATCGTACAGCAGCGCTGATGATCACAAGGCGGAAGTGCCTTGGTAAAGATATCAGCAGTGTTGGCCTTAGAGGCCACGTAAGCAAGGCGCAGCTGACCACGCTGCTGCAGCTCACGAGCAAGGAAGTAGCGAAGAGCAATGTGCTTCGTTCTGTGCTCCAGTCTGTGCTCCCGACACAAGGCCAGCATGGCCTTGTTGTCTACGTACAGAACTGGAGGAGAACGAGGCGGCTCTCCTAGGTCAGTCAGCAGGTAGGTGAGCCAGCGTAGCTCCTGAGCAGCCATGGCCCCCGCGTAGATCTCAGCCTCACAGCTGGAGCCGAGAACAGAAGACGAGCGGGTAGACCGCCACGAAACAGAGCCGGAACCAAGGCTGAAGGTGTAACCCTGTGACGACCGCTGCGTAGCCTGGTCGTCAGCCCAAGAAGCGTCTGCGTGACCAGTGAGGACCACTAGACTCCGCCCTCCAAGCACAAGCCCCATGCCCGACGTACTGCACAAGTAGCGCAACACCCTCTTCGCTGCAGCCATGTGCTCTGGTCTGTGTCTCCCAGGAGCAACATAGCGTGCCAGAATGCTAAGAGGGTATGCAAGGTCAGGTCGAGTGCAGGTCATCAGGTACATGAGGCAGCCAACAAGCTCTGGGTACGGGCCACTCGACTCTACGGACTCATCCGAAGGCAGAGCTGAGAGCGAGTGGCGAGTAGACAGAGGAGTGGGCTGAGGCGAGGAGTACGTGAAGCCGAAGCGCTGAAGGACCTGCTGCACCATGTGTGACTGAGTCAGGGTAATGGTGCGCTGTGCTCTGTCCCGGGTGATCTGCAAGCCAAGGTAGCTGCGCAGTTCACCCAGGTCTGTGCACGTGTGTCTCTTCTGCAGCTCGGACTTCACGTGGGCGAGTCCAGCAGTGTCAGCAGTGGCAAAGACCAAGTCGTCGACGTACACGAGGATGTAGAACGGCGGCAAAGAGGTGTCGGTGCGCAGAAACAGCGACGGGTCGGCAGTAGAAGGAGCAAACCCAAGAGCCGCAAGTGTAGTCCTCAGTGTGTCGTGCCACTCACGGGGCGCCTGGCGGAGACCGTAGACTGGCCGCCGGAGGTTCCACTGGGTACCAGGAGGAAACGACCCAGTGAAGCCAGGTGGGCGGCGCAGCCAGATCTCCTCGTGCAGGCTGCCCTGCAGGAAAGCAGTGCTGAAGTCAAGAGAGTGAAGCTCGTAGTCGCGCTGAGCGGCTATGTGCAGCAGCACCCGAAGAGTGGTCATCTTCGGGGTGGGAGAGAAGGTCTGAAAGTAGTCAACTCCCTGCCGCTGACTGAAGCCTCGAGCCACGTAACGCGCCTTGAAGACAGGCAGAGAACCCGGCGGCCGCTTCACCCTGAAAATCCACATGCCACTGACGATGTTCGCCCCAGGTGGGGGAACCTCGTCGACGTAGGTGCCTGTGGACTTCCAGGAAGCCATCTCTGCGTCCATGGCTGACTGCCACTGTGAGGAGTAGGGACCCTCGATCGCCTCAGCGTACGATCGAGGAGTCGGGATGTCTGGTGCATCCGGGTCTCCCTCAGGGGCAATCAGCGTGGACACGAGATGAGGCAAAGCAGCAGCAAAACACTGGAACTCCTCCTGCCTGTCCTCAAGGACGTCCGTGCTAAGAGCACACTCACCCCCGACGGACGGAGGACAAGCAGACTCAGACTCAGCAACAAGACTAGTGGCGTAGTCTAGACGACAGCGAGCAGCAAAGTCGACAAGCTCAGCAACCAAGGCAGACGCAGCAGTGGACTCAAAGGAAGGGTCAGTGACAACAGTAGCCAGGAGACGCGTGACAGTAGGACTGGCAGCACGAAGAGAGTCAGACTCCGGGTCAGCAAGAACAGGAAGAGAGGACGCTGGAGGAGACGGCAACGGGACACGCAGAGGAGCAGTGGACGGACGCAGTGCCATCTGGTGTGTGCCTGGGACCGCAGGAGGACGCGGACGTGGAGCACGACTACTAGTGCGAGCAGCACGAACAGGCGACGCAGGACGAGACGCAGGCTCACGACGCTCAGCAAGACCTCCAGTAGGACCAGTGTAGGGAGAAGGAGCAGGCAGGGGGGAGGCGGGCTGTAACTGTGACCGCGACTGGACAGGGTGTGGACACTCTAAGGGAGGAGCAGGACCAGTAGAGGGCGGGAGACCAAGAACCTGCTCAAGGAGCGGAACGAAGTACGGCCGCGGACGCACAGCGCCTCCAGAACCAGCAGGGACAGCACCAGTACTCCGAGCGGTTGTACCAGCGCCAGCAGCACCTCCAGCTCCAACAGCACCAACTCCAGCACCCTCAGAAGCACCAGCGCCAGCAGCACCTCCAGCGCTAACACCCCCAGCTGCTCCAGCTCCAGCAGCTCCAGCAGCTCCAGCTCCAGCAGGACCGGCAGCTCCAGTACCGCCAGTAGCTCCAGCAGTACCTCGAGCAGGACCAACTCCAGCAGCCCCAGCAGCACCCCCAGTCCCAGCAGCTCCAGTACCGCCAGTACGAGCACCTCCAGGACCAGCAGCAACAGTAGCACCTCCAGCTCCAGCAGCACGGCTCCAGCGCCGGGCAAACCACTCGCG